TGGGTTGCACCCACCCAAGACATTAAGGGTTAATCCTTGTACACTATTCGATTGAATAGTTTTAGTCTCGCACCCCAAAAGAGGTTTGACCGATTAGGGTTAGTTTCAATCCTATCCAAGATATGTTACAGACTTTTTGACCGATTGGGGTAAGCCTCGCACACATCCAAGAGATAAGGGTCAGCCTCGCACCCATCCGAAAGATTAAGAAATTATGGAGTCCTACACACACCCACACCCACCCTCACACCCACCCACCCACCCTCACCCACACACACACACACACACATACGTGTACAACCGCAATTCTCACTACACGAGGTTTTACACCTGAAAGTCACTACACTATGTTCAAGCAATGCTAACAAGATAAACAGACCATAACTGTGATTCTATGGGTCTTTGTATATGCAAATGAGGTTCAGAAAGATGAAAATTCAAATAATGAAAAAATGATTTTTCACCTAAAAGTCACTACATTTGGTCACGTGATTTTGCTCAATCACACACCGGAAGTTGACAAGTCACTACATGGCTTTACCAGGACACACACAGGAAACTCAGTACATAAACACTCTTGTAAGATATTATACAAGAAAATCACTACATTCAGTAAATTTTGAATGCGTTTCCCGTAAAAACACCAATTTTTCCAAAAAATTATCGAAAATACATGACAATGTCTGCATGAAATCTGTATGGTATTGAAAAAAAAATTGTCAAAGGATATCCGATAAAGTTAAAAGATAAAAAATTGGCTTTCAACATCTGTATATAGATTAAAATAAAGCAAATGAAATGAGAAGAATAAATTAACAGTCATGACAAAGATTTAAAAGTATTAACGGCCAGGCACGTAACATCGTTTTTGAAAGTCGGGGGTTGGGGGGGGGGGGGCAGAAAATACAACTTAATACCCGAAAATCTTTGGCAAGCAAGAGAAATAGGTTAACTTCAAAAAGTCGAAAATCCTATTGGTGGGTTGAACTTTTGTGAACCCTCCAAAAAATTTCTTTACAATAAAATGACCGCATTTAAATACATAACAAAACAGTGTGTGTATGGGGGGGGGGGGGGGTAATGAACACTTTCACAGTAAATTAAAAATAAAACTTTTAAGTTTGAAAAAAGGAGGGGCCAAGCTACCCCTCCCCTCTGCTTTTACGTCGCTGACGGCAATGAATTGCCGAGTGTGCGTTGATTCAAGACTTGCTTCGTCAAGAATATTCGTTTTGGGTTTTTTTTTCTGTTGCATTGAGTAAGACAAGTAGAAATTGAAAATCGTTCCCCAATTTTAAATGCAATCATTATGTTTTTTATGATCTTAAAGAGTTTATTTTTTTCTTAACAAGAATTTTAAAGGATTACAAATTCTTTAACTACTGTTCATGTAATAAAATCTCGTTCTTTTTTATGTGGATGACACCACAACCAGCATTCAAAGGAAAATTTACAATAGTAATATAGTATATTCAGAAAAGGGGGGGGGGGTTAGCCTCCGCGTTCTACGGACCTGAAATAAGGGGAAAAATAATGATCCCTCTTATTTATTCTTGCAATTTAATGACTTCAAAAAACTGAAATTACTTTGGTGGGGAAAGTCCACTTCATTGTTTTTTATGCATAACATTCTATCATTTCATATTCATCATTTCATTTTCCAATTCAGCATTTAAAAATCCCATTGCTCAAATATGTTGGTCTCTAAAACCATGATTTTTTACGAAATGCAGTTCATACAGCACCCTTTAGTTTTCTTATCCCTTTGCTCAAATGTTTTACAACATTTTGAAAGATCAAACAAAAAAGACGGTTTGTTTGAATGAAACAATTTAATTGCATCAACTATACAAAAAAGTACATAAAAAGAATGCTGACATGAAATAAGATACACATGTATAAGCCAAGTGTTAATAGATAATTCTTGCTGTTAATTTTTAAGGTATCCAAAATAAGTTTATTTTCACAGAACAACCAAGGACAATCAGTCAGTATTTGTGCAAAATATAGTGACATTTTCTTAGTGCATTAAACAACATACAAGTTTCGAAATAAAAAAAAACTCTTTAAGCTTAAAGCTGACAACCAAGCAAGAAATATAAATATCATGCAGTTAATAACTTCCTGTGTTTAAAATGCAACAAAAGGCCCTAGGCTTTGACTATTACCTGAGTATTATGAATTTCTCAGGCTGTGGTCATTTCAAAACCGCCTGGATCTAGAAATCTAGACCCATGCAACAAAAATCGTAAATTTTCACAAGAATTCTATATTTATTATCATATTGATGCAGCTGAACTCCTAGAAGTTCAAAAGTAAAGAGGATAAGGTATACTGGCTAATACTGTATAAAACATTCTAATTTATGACTAACTCTGCCTTTTCATGGGCCTGAAACATGAAGAAGCTTTCAATTAGAGGGCTAAGCATTAATTAAGATTAATTTTAGAGGTCCATGTTTGCTCTGTTACGAATATGGATTATTCTAATGGACTTTTGAGTTTGATTACTATTCATAATCTTCATATTTAATTTTATGCCTGCTAGTTTGCCTGCTAGATGTTCCCCAGTAAAGGATTTTTTAAAACTTCAATTTACAGCCCATAGCAAGGGGTTCAAAAGTAGGGGGGACTTCAAAAAATATCTGACAAGCAAAAAAAAACATTATTTACTGAACCGACCTTATTGCAACAAAAAGGGGGGGGGGGGAGGGGCAACCAGGATATAAAGGATACTTTACTATAGCAAAATACTATACTCAGAAAAAGTGGGGGGGGGGGGGGGGTTCTATGGGCCTGTTGCAGTGTCAATATAAATAGGTAAACCTTGCATGAACAATGGGTCATGAGCGATAAATTTCACAAATTTGGGTTAAAAAATAATTACTTGCTTAAATTATGCAAACAGCTGTCTGCTACATGTCCATGAAAAAAAATTTATAGGGTATATTTTTTTCAATATTCAGCTCCATCCTGAACCTATATGCAAAAATGAATCTCACAACTTTTTGTACTTAAAGAGCTATGGGCTTATATGATATGCATACCATCAACTGCCTGCTGGCAAAACTTCTCACAAAAGAGACATGAATGTTTTTTATTATCATAGTTCCCAGACGATGTTTTTGGCCTCTAAAAACCTGGTCTTTCGCTTCTCTGACTGTGGTAAAACTTTGCCGACATCATCATGATCATTTTCACATTCACTGTCCTTTTTGCTGTCACTTGCAAGTGCAGCTTGTTTCTGCTGCATTTCAGATTTGAGAGGCTTACTGGGCATATCTGAAATTATTATATATGTACATGTATTGACAAAAGGGATTCATCTTTATTTTTATAGAAGAGGCCAATGGGCCACATGGCTCACCCAAGTCACAGTAGCCCTGCACATCCCCCCCCCCCCCCATATATCCCTATGTAAAGCTTTGATTGCCTATTATGGCCTCATCTTACCCATTCAAACCTAATGAAGAGATATGAAAGTTGTTTTTCCATACTTCAATCTGTTAGGCATGATTGAAACACTCTATGTAAGCTCCTTATGGAGATATTTATAATTTATAATGCTGGCTAATGAACATCATGTTAATGTGATGCAAAGGAAAGTAATTTATTTAAAATGAATTTTGTCAATTTATCAGACTGTGATCATGTCTGGAGAAAAAAACAACTTATGGAATTAATCCTTAACTGTAATAAAGAAACAGTCATACTTAAAATTCAAGACAGAAATTCTGCCAGAATTTTAATTCACTTTAAACAATCTACATATTGTACAATGTAATACATAACACCTTATACAAGAGGCCCATGGTCCATGACACCTGAGCCCTTTTGCAAGAGAAAAGCAGAAATCAGTTCAGTATTGGAAAGTTTGAGTAATTATACAATTGGTGCCACCCTATGCCCTGTGGGTGATGATTTGAACAAACCTGAAACTACTTCTCCCATCCTACCCCTTGATGTTACGATTTGAATAAATTTGAATGTACACTACCTGAAAAATACTCCTGTATTAATATTACAAAATCATGGCTTTGCTGTTCTTGAGAAGAAGGCCTTTAAAGACATTTTCTATATAATTCCATGTAAAAGTCTTATGCCCCATTGTGTCCCCACCCTTCTGCCAGGGGTCATTAGTTGATAAAACTTCAAGCTACATTACCTGAGTATGCTTCTGTATTAATATGACTTGTCATGGCTTTGCTGTTCTGGAGAATAATTTTTCTGGCCCACTCAGACCTGTTTAACTTTTCTAACTGATGTCAGTATTCTAGAAGTTGTCAGTATTTTGAGCAGTTTGTCAGTAAAAATGCAACTCAGCTTATTAGACATTTTTATATGAAGAACCCCTTGTTATACAAATACTAAGCACTAACTACGCAAGTCACCGTATGCTGTCTACTGTTGCTTACATATTTTACATTTGCCATAATTATATTGTTTTTAGATCATTTTTGATAAGACCACTTCAATCAACAAGCTTCTTTATCAAACTGATTGGCAAATTTCGGGAACGACTCTGATTTTTTCCGTCTTTAGGGAAAATCTGTATATTTTCAACGTGAATCTGTAGAGCACTTTTTTACTCGAAGATTCATGGAAAATACTAAAAAGCTGTACAAGTAAACAACTCTGCCCATTGTTTCTGGAGAAGATTTTTTTAAAGACGCCATCAAATTTGCACTTATTTTTGATTATATCCCCTTAAAATAGGGTGATGCCTTTCATGTGAACAAACTTGAATCCCCCACCGAAGAATACTTTGTGGCAAGTTTGGTTGAAATTGACGCAGTGGTTCTTGAGAAGGAGCTGAAAATTTGAAACAACAGTGACGCTGGAGATGGACAATGGACAAACTTTGATCAGAAAAGCTTACTTGAGCTTAAGAAAGTTCTGTTTTCAGCTTTATTACCAAGATCATTAATGGTATCTTCATCACAGCTTTTTTCATCGCTTGAAGGATGGTATGATTCATCATCATTACCATCATCATACTCGTCTGCTTCATCACTTAAAGTGGCCCTGTATCATGTCCTATTTAAAATTCTAAAAAAGAAATTATCATTTTAAGACTGTTCATTTTTATGGGGTTAACTTTTAATTTGTAACATCCAAACAACATCATAAATATAGATTACCATTCTCATTGACAACATCATGACTGCTGCTTTCATTTACAAATGATTGGTGTGATTCCTCATCCTGCTCAATTGCAAAAGACTCTGTGAAAACATTCAAATTAGATATTAAATTGGAAAATAACACTTTTCTTAAAAAGTAAGATTCAAATTTATGAATACAATAGGGGTTATCTATTTTTTTCTTTTTGCCTTTACTATGCATGCAAAGAAGAGTCCCATGGGCTACAACATTTCCCATGTAAAAGAAGCTTTTCTTAATGTTTATAAAGAGTTTTTCTCCTTAATTTTCTCATGCAAAATTGTGAACTCATATTATGACCCTATCCTAACTCTAAAGGGTCTCTGAATCCACTATCCCCCCCCCCCCGCTTCCTTCCTCCCTTTGGCCATGATTTGAACAAAAAGGAAGCTAAAAGAAGGTTTAAAAATACTTTTTGTGGTCCAGTTGTTCTTAAGAGGATTTGTAAAGATTTTAACTAGTACATAAATGTATGTATATATTTCAAGGTAAATCTTTGATCCCCTATTGTGGCCCCATCTACCTCAAAGGCCATTTTTTGAACAATTTAAAATCTTTATTACATCAGGAAGCTTTCACATAAATTTCAGCTCCTGACCAGTAAAGTGAGAGTATTATGGGCTTTGAGAAGAAAATACACATTATGGTTTAATTTGACCTCCAAATCTTTTTTCTAGTACCATAATAGTGTACGATACATTTATTAACTTCACAACATACCAATCTTCTCCTGGATTTTGTATGCTGGTGAGCACAGACTGAGCTCACAGTTTCCAGCAAAGTTATCAGCTGTAACTCTAAACTCCCACTCTGAGTCCTGAGGAAGATCGGTGACAGTAAAGAGGGGTCAGTGCAGGGGTACTCATTTCTCTGTTCCCTTAAACCTCTCTTCTACAAGGTAGTCTACAAAGATAATCAATATTATCAACTGCTACAGTGTTTATGTGGTTTTGAACAGAGATCAACATTTCCCTTTTTTTATTCTACTTTTAAATTAGTACCTGTAATTTTACAGCCACCATTATGTTTAGGTGGTTCCCATTTCAGATAAGTTATAGAATTGTTGACAGCCTCTGGTACAACAGGTGGCAAAACCTTGGCTAAAATAAAAGTTTAAAAACGTGAAAGAAAAAATAATTGAAAATAAAGTACAATATGGTAATTGTTTTTTAAAATGTTATAATTTTTTTCAAATATACTTACTGTATTTGGGCTTGGGAGTTATGGGACCAATCACATCACTAGACTCACTGATTTAAAAACCTTCAAGATTCTTGGCCTGTATGTGGAAGTTGTATTCCTTGTCCTTTTTTAATCCCTTCACTGATGAAAAAACTCTCAAATTCAAGTTTTGTAAACAAAACAAATTTCAAGAATCACTTTTGTAAAACATCTTTTCACAGTTTTCAGCCATAATATACTAATTACATGCAACAAAAGGACATGTAAATCCACTTACTAGTTCATAAGAAAGATACATGTGTCAACAAGTAATCAGTTACTCACCCTCATAAACACACTCATCTACTGGGTAGTCGTTAGCCTGCCTCCAGTGGTGGGGTCTTCGTATTCTATGACATATCCTATAATCTTCTTAAAACCATCATTTCTTGGTTTGGTCCAAGAGAGAGATTGACAAAATCTTCATCAATGTCGAAAACACTTGGATGTCCAGGAGGATCACAACAAGCTGAGGGAAACATTTAATATTTTCAAAATTTTTCAACCCAGTTCATCATGCAAGCACAAAGACATTCTTTTAATTGTATACACCAATCAATGCTCGAATCTTAACATATCCCTTCATATTGAAACGAAGTCTTAAAGTTTGGAATTCATTTGATATCTAACAATTCATGTTCAACAGAATTATCACTTCACTTCAGCTTAGCTTCAGGGGAGAGATCAAAATTCATACACATCTACAAAAACTAATCAATCACCTGAAAATGAATTTCTTTGGCTACCACTTAAATATTTAGATGACTTGCAAAATAAAGTGGACAGACAGGACAGTATATATAGCTTGAACGAATAGGGATATACTAAAATACTTAACTAAATGTGCATTCTCAACCAAATTTGTGCACAGTGCACTATTTAAAGAATGTCCATACAAAGTAGTCAAAATACCAATCCCAAAGATCTTGAACTTAGCATTTTACAATTTTTTCCTCATAAAAATAGACAAATTCAAAATTTGATGAAAAATATTAATGCTCTCAAACTAGGAATAATTAACATTTTTGGTGGAATGGCTCTGTTCAATGGTACCAGTTATGGAAGAAAAAAAATGCTGCTGTTTGTTATTTATCACAAAATACATTGTATTTAAAAAAAATTCCATTTCTTTTTTATTTTAAACATTTTTTCCTTTATATTCCCACAAAAAACTTTAATCCACTATTGTTTAACACTTAAGAAGCTGATTCCAAACATTGATCGAAAATGAAAATAAACCAATGCAAGGAAACTCACAATATCTGTGTGATAAATGTATACAGACAGGGAAACTCACTACATGTGGGTAAATAATGCACTCTGGCAAGGAAACTCACTACATGTGTGTTAATAATGTACTCTGGCATGGAAACTCACTACATGTGTGTTAATAATGTACTCTGGCAAGGAAACTAACTACATGTGTGCAAATAATGTACTCTGGCAAGGAAACTCACTACATGTGTATGATAATTTTAAACAGACAAGGAAACTCACTACGTGTGTGTAAATAATATACTCTGGCAAGGAAACTCACTACATATGTGTAAATAATGTACTCTGGCAAGGAAACTCACTACATGAGTGTAAATAATTTACCCTGGCAAGGAAACTCACTACATGTGTGCAAATAATGTACTTTGGCAAGGAAACTCACTACATCTGTGTAAATAATGTACTCTGGCAAGGAAACTCACTACATCTGTGTAAATAATGTACTTTGGCAAGGAAACTCACTACATATGTGTGATAATTTTAAACAGACAAGGAAACTCACTTAACATCTGTGTAAATAATATACTCTGGCAAGGAAACTCACTACATATGTGTAAATAATGTACTCTGGCAAGGAAACTCACTACATGTGTGTGTAAATAATATACTCTGGGAAGGAAAATCACTACGTGTGCAATTATTGTCCTCTGACACGGAAATTCACTACATCTGCGTGATAAATTTTAAAGTTAAAGATAGAAACTCAAAACGTCAACACAAATACTGAGGTATGTAACTAATGCAGAGATTATTAGATACTGTACGTAGCATGAAAAAAATTGCTGGCTTCACATCAATGTTGCTATGGAATGAAGGAAAAAAATATACTACATGTTTTGTCTTTGATGAAAAAAAAAAAAAAAATAAAAAAGATAGAAATAATGTTATATTGTAATATATTTCAATACAAAATTTAATATTGCAATGTATCCAAGGTATTGTAATAGGATTTTTAATTTGCAATACCTAGCACTTAACTATGAACACAATGAGTGATTTGGCAATGTTAAAACAAACTACATTTCCTTTGCAGTAAATTCATCATCAACTTGTTCCTACTATGGATAAATTATATATGGCTCAACTAGTATTATAAACAATGAAAGTATATCCCTGAATAGAAAATAGCAAAATTTATATTTTTTTCCCCCTAAAAATGTATGTCTATAACATGAATATATTTCATTCAGAATGAAAGTAATAATAAAGAAATAATCCTTGAAATATTATGTTTTTTACGTTATGTCAAAAATCTTGACGCGAGCCCATTGCAGAGGTGTGAGAGAGGAACGAACGACTACTCTGCATAGGAGATTGGTAAACAGCAACCCAACCCCCAACCCCCCCGCCAAACAAACAAACAAACAAAACAAAAAACACGATATAATATCTAATCATAATATTTAACCTCCTGGGGTAGTGAACTCTATAAAACATGTTTAGTAGACTTATCTATAATGCATATCATAGAAGAAATATGGAATCAAAATAATCATCCCAAATTAAACATACATGTATTAACCATTAGAGAGAATCTAGGTATGTCACTCCAGTTTGTTTACTTTGTACCCCATTGGTTTTTCTGAGTAGAAATCATGTTTTTATTTCAAAATGAAATGCCATTTCACATTCTTTTGACATATAATTCAGTCTGTCTTTAATTTGATGAAGCTTTTAAATTGGATTTGCATCTCATAAGAATCCTACAATTTATTCTCAAATACAAATCAATCAGTGTTTTGGAAAATCCTTAAGTAAAAGCAAGAGGCCACTCAATCTCATTCATAACAGTATGTCACTTCTTTTCATATCCATGCTCAATACATTTCACTCTGATTCTTATTCTTCATAATTTCAATACTTTGCCGATGCTTCATTGTGTTAGCAATGTATACCAGTTTTTCTTACTTTTATACTAATTCCAGTTCTTAACTACTGTAACATTATTTTTAAATTTGCAAATTAAATCTCTGTTACAAATATCAATTTAAATATTTTTGTTGTAGGCAACCAAGAATTCAAGTAATGTGAGAAAAACAAAATGCCAGTAATATGTCTTCAATTATGTCATAAAAATGACTCTGGCCATCCGAACCGAGCAGCATCCAATCTTATAATTATGTGTTGATACTCATAAGTGTTGTCAAATCGGACAATTTTTAGTAACCGGTTACTCGCTTACTTTTCCGATCAAGTAAACGGTTACACGGATGGAATTTTTTTTTAGACCTTTAAACATCCTTGCTCATGGTATGTATTCAATAATAACTGTAATATATGTAACGTCATTACAATTTCCATGTTTAACATTTACATACTGGCCAATATCAAACGCAAATGCACTGTAGATGCATTTCATTTATTTATTTTTAATTACACAAAGACAAATTAAAGCTTCTAAATGAATTTGTTCTTGAATATCCTGTAATAGTTGGCAATTTTTGCAGATGTCCTAAATATAAACTTACTTTAGTTTCGTTTCTGTGTATGTTAATTTCATTTTACATATTTTACACCTTTTGGATTTAAATTCTTTTAAAACATTTCGGAATCTATGCTTTTGATGGCCGTGGAGGCATCTTGTTTAAAATTAATCCTGTACTGCGGACTAGCACAGTATAAGTGAGGTAATTATAAATAACCCAGGTTTTCTACATTGTATACTGCTTGGCAATCAAAGCCATCGATTAGATAAACTGTGAAAACTAAGTGTTATCAAAACAAATCGGTCATGTTTGTGAAACGCTAGATCAAGTCTAACGTTAAATAACGGTAAATAAAATGGTAGAGGTGTACATTCATTTCTGAACAAAATAACATTTCTTTTCTACTTTTGTCTATATATCCGAGTAACTGAGTAGCAGTTTTACTATCTGATACTTGCATTGTTTGCCGATTAACCGGTTAACCAGGTACTCGTTGACAACACTAGTAGAAATGGTTAAAATGGCATCACACAAAATAAAGATAAATTAATTATTCAAACAACAGGGAGTAATACAGTAAAACATGCTTACAATAGCAAAGAGCCGGGGACCAAAATATTTAATTCTTTATAAACATAAACTTTCCATTTACAACACTTTTAAATCTATGGGGAAGGAAATCACTTCAATGTAAGCATATAAATTCATTTTAAGCATGTTTGCTATAACAATGTTCTGGCTGATTGATTTGAAAATTTTACAAATGGTTCTTCAATGATGTGCACAATTTAGGAGACACTGCAACAAATGGAAGCTAGACCACTGCTCCTTGATGAAAATATATCCTTGTTCGTAACCTTATTATAAATCTAGCTTAATAGTCAGACTGGGTGAAGCATATCTTTATGAAGTATTGATACTGATGGTGGCATTACATAAAATCAAAGGCCTGAAGGCCTGAGAGACGCATCGCACTGAAGGTAGAAAACTCAAATTTTTTTACTCAAAAAAATTCGACATACATCTTGAGGGAACGAAAAAAAATCAGGAATAAAAATAAAAATTAAAAATATCATTTCTTTGAGGTTAAAAAAAGATTTTGAGTTGTGGCATTTTTTTAGTCGGTCGGAAGAGGGCAAACAAACATTTTTTTAAAGATAGTCTGATATATCAATTATAATTCATTGATATTTAAATTAATCTATAATTGATTTTAATTATACTTTTATTTTTTTTTTATTCTTTCATTATAAACATAGTAGAAAGATGAAATAATAAACGAGAATTTATAAATGAATGATTATTGAATAATTCTATATAATTTCTTATCTGAATTTTTTCCGTTTCTTTCATTATGAGCATTTTTTTTTTAAATATCAATACTTTGTCTTAGACTAGTTTTATCAATCAAAATGACATAATACGTAAACCATAGTGGGATACATGAAATGTTCATATAATTCGGACTGAAAAAAAAAACAATCGGGAGTGGTATACGGTATACTATGAAACACGTTTCCTCCGATATTCTCGATAAAATTAACTCAAAAAGTCTATGTTTATACGGTATTAGTAAACCTATAAATTGAAATCCACTGTCATTGCAATTTTTTATCAGATATTTTATCATACTCAACTGACATTTTACCAAAAACCGATCATTTCACCGTTTCGTGTCACTCTTCCTCGTGGAATTTTTTTCCCAAAACAGTCTAGACGAACTCCAAAAACAGCTTTGCTTTTCCGGAAGTAAGAAATTGAGACTGAAAAAGACTCCGAAAATAGAGTCTGCGCATGCGCACACGCACAAAAAATAGCGATTTTTCGGCAAAAATGATGGGTCTACAAAAACTGTCTGTGCAAAGTTTTGGAAAGTATGGCAATTATGCCAGTACTCAGAAATGCTAAATAAAAGACTTCGGAAGAGATCGTATTTGTCAGATTTTTGATTTTATTTGCAAAAAAGGAGATATTTACTTTCAAAGTTGACGTTTGAAGTCAGGTCAATTACAGATAAAATGATTCGTTTGAGAAGTAAAATGCATAATAAAAGGGATATATATGCAAAATGGGACAATACATATTGTAACTGTTAAAAACTTGACTGAATTTTACACATATATTAGCATTCCGGTATTTTTATTTGTGTACGACATCTGAATTAAACGCGTAAGTTCTTACCATGGTTATTTACCGATTTTTTTTTATCACATACGAACAGATATTATTATGAAAACATTTTTAAAACTATTAGCTATCAAAATGAAATCTTTAAAAACCACTCTTCTAGAAATTAAGGTCACAACATGTCTTCTAAATATAAACCTGTGAATATCTCTGCTCCGTAGTGAAAAATGCGCATTTTCTAATTAAAATACATACAAGCTGGGTGTCTTTAAAAACAAGTAAAAGCACCTAGATATCGTAGGAATAACATAAAATTTAAATCAAGGACACAATAAATCAAATAAGAAAATAATTCTTACCGGCAGTATTAAATTCGATGTCGTATAATCCAATTTACTACTATGCAAGAGTTTGAAGCAATAAATAAGTCAATATCCACAAAATAATTTCATAAATATAATTATCCATTCAACAAAATTAAAGTAAAGTCACAATGACTAAATACAGCCATTATGCAGCCGTATATTTGAAGAAAGCGAACGACAATCCATCGTTTGTTTACATCGGACGCCATTTTGCCGCAATGCATGATGGAGCCAAAGACTTCGTTTTCGGAGTTCACGCCGTTTTTAGAGTTCGTCTTGACTGCGAAAGGTGGCCCTTGTTGCAAAAATTTATTCAGTTGAACATCTTACTATTCGTTTCATCAAGTGAAAAAATAATGATATCCCTTCTATTTCTATAAAAACAACCATCTTGTTCCTACTGTTAGTGATGTTTTATAAAATAAAATTATTGTATATTTTTCTCAGATATTTGTACAAGCAATGTCGTATTACAAGGCCTAATAATTTATGGCAAGAGCTGTTGCGATGTAAATAGATCTTACTCTGCATAGCACATGTTTGTTTGTTGTTGTTTTCTCTCTTTCTCTATTTTTGTTTTGTTTTGTAATTGTTTCTTTTTTGTTATCTTTGTTGCTTTCAAAGTATAAACAACATATATATGTGAGATTTTATGTTATTTGGTATTTAAAATAGACAATGAATATCACCAACTTGTCAATATACATTTGCTCTATTTTCAATGGCGTATTTAGAATCAATATTGTGGAGTCCTTTGTTGCCGCAGTAATTGAAAAGAAAGAAATGGGGATCGACTGCAATGAGGCCACATCGCTGTTAGGGATGCGCCTCAAAAAATAGTTTGTGTCCAAAAACATGTGAATAAACATGATAAATATTAAATCCCTCTTTATGACATTATGATATCATGAAATTAGCTTAACAGCAGACTGGGTAGTGCAACTTGTATAATTATATTTATATATATTACCTGAATTAATCTCATCATCATCATCACTGTCAAATGAATTTCCATTGAATTCCCAACTAAAAGGGTCCGATTCCACTTCCACATCTGAGCTAGCCATTTGGATGTCTAAAACATCAAAGCATTTAGATTCAACATCACCTTTTAAAAATTAAAACTGTCTTCAAACAAGAGGCCCATGGGCCACGATGCTCACTTTGGTCAAATAGGTTCAACAAAAGACTTACTTATAGACACAAAATACATGTATTACAAAAAAATTTATCAATTCAGATTCTGAGATCTTATTTTCCAGGTATAAGTCTTCTCCTAAATGTGTCTTTGTGTGACATCATATTGTAACTAGGGGATTGCTCTAAAATCAGCCCCAGTATTTCCAATTTGTTTAAGCATCATTTATGTTAAAAATTATACAAAAAATATTTTTTGGAAAAAATATACAAACTTAAATTTAAATACAGATCAATCTGGATTTTAACTTTTTTGCACAAAACTATAAATTAAGAGCATATAAAATTATAATCATGTAATGAAAAAATATGAAATTCAAGCAATATTATCATTCTTTCTACATCCATCCACTTTACAAAACAAAACCACAGATGTTGAGAGTAAATTAATAATATAAACTTACTTTAATTTATAGTCTGATATAAATTTGATCTCAAAACCTTTTTGGTCAAAGCCAGCCTGGCAGTAAAAATCTGCTTCTGACGAAGGTGACATTCGTCTTCTCTGAAAATAGATGTGATCAGGGAATACATAAGCTTTAATTCATAACATACTATATAAATGGTGCCTGTTTTGGAGGGTAACAAATGAAATTGACACCCTTTTGAAAACCATTGTTAACCTTTTGTTTTGTCATTGAAATGATCCCTCCTGAAATATTTTATCGACCAAATATTAGAAGATTTTTTTAAAAATTTTAATCAATTCTTTGCCTGTAATCAAATGACCACCAAAACTTGTGTTGGATCTAAGGGAAAACAAGTTTCTTGGTTGACTAGTGATACTTTTTACAAAAAAGTTAACTGTTTATTGAGTTTTTTTTTAAACATATAAACATAGGTAATCAAAGATTACAAAGCTCAATGAATGGTACACGTGTATCTATAAGTAAGGTAAATCTTGTACCAATTTTGTGCGAGATCAATTATCAATGCAAGTTTGGTTAAAGTAGGACTTATAGTTGCATGGGAATAGACCTGCTCCAAAAACTTTAAACTTAAACTGTTTACTCATAAAGAAAATGTAGGTCAGTTCCAGCATCCATAGCATGTCTGGTAGTGTCCATCCCTAGTTTCGTCATCCATGCAAGTTTAGTCATAACGTGTCATATAGTGATAGAGCTACTCCAGACATTACTCTGGTCACATATCTGAAAAATGTAGGTCAGATTCAGCATCAAAAGCAAGTCTTCTTGTGTCCATCTTTAGATACATCATTCCATGCTAGTTTGGTTCTGGTAAGGCTAATAATTACTCATCTGGAAAATAAAGGTTAGATCCAGCATCCAAAGCAAGTCTGGTAGTGTCCATCCCTAGGTGCATCCTCCATGCAACTTTGGTTCAGGTAGGGCATAGTTACTTGGAAATGCATGGACTTGCTCCAAAAACTTTAACCTGGTCACTCATCTAGAAAAATTTAGGTCAGATCCAGTATCTGAAGCAAGTCTAGTATTGTCCATCCCTAGATGCATCATCCATGTAAGTTGGGTCCAGGTACGGCTTATAGTTACTTGGGAATGGACTTGCTCCTAAAACTTTAACCGGGATGCCGACACAAACGAAAATCAATAATTATGATTTGCCATCTAAATCACATGTTCAATTTCAAGTGTGATTTACAACATTTTCATAATTTTATTCGGTAAACAAATAAAAAAATTACAAATTCATTTTTAATGGACACAAATTATAGCTTGTATAGCCACTGTATTAGTGTAAAATGTGCACTGTGCCATTTGGCTGACCCCACAAAATGCAAGAAAGCCTGATTTTCTAGTTTGTAAGTTCATTGCAGTCTGCACTCTTGGTATTCGTCATCGAAATTAAATAAATCCATGATGTATCATATAACAAGAGGCCCAAGGGCCTTAACGGTCACGTGAGTATAAAACAATAATCCATAGAGGATCCATAGAGTATAAAATAAACTGATAGAACCTTAATTTGTTGCCCAAAAGCAAGAAAAATAGGATGATCATGATCTTCGAAATAATTAGTCTAATATTGAGTAACAACTCATAAATTAAGTTCTAATCTGTCCCCAATTTAGATTTTTCTCCTATAAGTTTTATTTTCTAATATGCCCCCACCCTACCCCCGAGGGTCATAATTTGAATAATCTTGAATCTACACTACTGTAAAACACTTTTTATTCACAAGAACTTTATTTTTGCGTAATTACGTGAGACAGTGTGCTCGTGAAAATTTCATTTTCACTTATCTTAGTATTCCTAAAGATTATATACAGCAAACACATTTCGTGAATATTCTGTCTCGCTAATAAGGAGTCAGTGACTATCTCGCGAAAATGAAGTGTCCCGAAAATTTAGTGATCTAAAGCACCTGAAGATGTTTCTGTATTAAAATGACTAATCATGGCTTTGTTGTTCTTGAGAAGAAAATTTTTAAATGATCTTTCATATATATTCCTAACTAAAATTTGATCACCTGTTGTGTCCCCTCCCTACCCCAGGGGGTCATGATTTGAACAAATTTGAATTTACATTACCCAAGGATGCTTCCATATAAATAAGACAAATCATGGCTTTGCTATTCTTGAGAAGAAGATTGTTAAAGATTTTTCCTATGTATTCATATGTAAATCTTTGATCATAAATTGTGGCCCCACTCTATATTACCTGAGGATGCTTCCATGTAAATATAACCAATCATGGCTTTGCTGTTCTTGAGAAAATAATTTTTTCAAGATTTTTCCTACGTATTCCAATGTAAAAATTTCATTGTTCATTATGGCCCCACCCTCCCCGGGGATCATCATTTTAAGAAATTTGAATCTACACTACCTGAAGATGTTTCTACATCAGTTTCATCTTTCTTGGCCCAGTGGTTCTGGAGAAGATTTTTCCAATGTATTCCCATGTAAAACTTTGATCTCCCATTGTGACCCGCCCTGCCCCCGGCAGGGGTGTGCAATTACCATTGCCCAACGCTCAGGGCTACCAATTTTAGAGGTTGGGCTATCATAAATCTATACTGCATTAGCCTGTCGGGCTAGTAAATCTGAAACGAAAGTATATGTATATTTACATCGACTGAATTGATGTACGAATTAACTTTGTTGTAAAATCATAATCTTTAATTCTTTTCAACATATATGTATTGTGTGTTGCTATCGCCAGTCGTTTCAGTGACTGTCACAATTATATTCAATAAAAATAGGGAGAAGTACCTGACAATAACATAGTGGAAACCATTATTTGTTTTATTTATTTCAACTTAAATTTTTTTTTTTTTTGGTACCTTTTTGTTATACTTATACATGTATTGTTTTCGGAAGTTAATGGGCTAGTGATGATTGTAAACCTCGAGCTAGTAACTTTGTTACTTCCACTAGCCCAGGCTAGTAACTAATTTTTGTAATTGCACACCCCTGCCCAGGGGTCATGATTTGAACAAACTTGAATCTACACTACCTGGGGATGTTTCCACCTAAGTTTTATCTTTCTTGGCCCAGTGGTTCTGGAGAAGAAGATTTTTAAAGATTTTTCCTATGTATTCCTATAATGTAAAACTTTGATTGTCCATTGTGGCCCCACCCTACCCCTGGGAGTTATGATTTTAACAAACTTGAGTCTACACTACCTGAGGATGTTTCCACATAAGTTTCATCTTACCTGGTCCAGTGGTTCTTGAGAAGAAGATTTTTAAAAGATGCCATTAATTTTTCACTAATTCTTAGTTATCTCCCCTTGGAAGACGGTGTGGCGCTTCATTTGAACAAACTTGAATTACCTTTACCCAAGGATACTTTGTTGCAAGTTTGGTTGAAATTGGCCCGGTGGTTCTTGAGAAGAAGTTGAAAATATAAAAAGTTTATGCAAGACGCACACCCGCACGACGACGGATGAAAACAGATACATGTAGCAATAGGTCACCTGAGTGACTCAGGTGACCTAATAAAATCAGAGCCACCAATCAACATATTGACATCCACTGGCTAAGCAACAAACTTTTCCTCTGATGTGGTTCCTAACTCCAAAATATCAAGTCATTTTGCATGGCTGCACCACAGATTTATGAAATTGATGCATATGGAAAATATTACCTTAGGCCATTCCAAGTTTTTTCTATGTTTAGCATCCACCCATCTTTCAAATACTTCCCTACCTATTCGCAAAAAACACACAAACCAAAAAGTAAAACACAAGTCATTATAGCCATAAAAATGATGTCATTCAAAGAATATGATTCCATTAATCTATTTTTCTCGTAGAAATATTTATTCTTCAGCAAAATCAAGGTATTAAATGCTTAAAACATTCCAAATATGGCATATTGTAGACAAATACTTAGAGAAATTGACAGAATTCAGTGAATCGACCAGAATAAACAATTTCAGGACTCCTGATTTTGTTTGTTTGGTTTTTTTTTTTTTGTTAAGGGATGTCAAAAAATCCAAGGCACACGCGGACGCTAAACATTGAAAAAACTTGGAATGGCCTTAAATGTACAATGAAATACCATACTAACAAATTCTAATTAATTATCTAGGCTCGCTCTTTGATCTCTAAAAGTTGGCATTAAAAAATGATTTTGGTTTAAATATATTTTATTCTAAATACTTGCTGTAATAGATGACAAATCTCCATGAAGTTCTAAAAACAGAAAATTTATTTCCACATATCTGTTATCAAGGTGGCAGGGGATAATTTTTCTTTTCGATGCCAAACATGTGCCGAGGGGGTAGGCATATGCATGAGGTCAATAAAAACAGATCATAGTTTGGGGCAGTTTCTTGGGTGCTAATTAATTGCACTTCATATACCTATAGCTCAAAAAATGTGTCAACCTATAACATGTAACCTACATATTAAAGTGCACATGTACCGAAAATGCACTTGGAGGTCTCCAAAGATTTTGGCTTGTTTTTCCAAGATTTGGGCTGTGGTCGCACCTATACAGCCCATCCCATTCCTGAGCGAGCAGGATAAAACACCCAGTATTCTGTAGAACAATGCATGCCCTAATGAAAATTCACCAATTGATCTGGGGCCATTCACCTTCCCTCTGAGATGCACACCACTGCTTTTCAGCTGAATTTCCTCTGCGACTGACCAAATGTCTTAGTTTCGCATTTACAACTCTATATATGCTAAGCATCAGAGTGACACCTACATGATGCACATCATTTTTCTCAGCAAGCTCTGCTACACTGCACATGTACATGTATCCCATAATTATTTTATTATACTTTCATGTTAAATACTAAAATCTGATTGGTTTAGACGCATTTAACAATCCGTATTATTATACTTCTGTTAAAATGTTTCCTATATAAAGTTAAGAAGGTAAAATAACTATCTTTATAGTCTCAAAATTTCCACACATAGCAAAGCTATACCCCGGGGTATAGTTTTTGCTATCCACCCCTCGGAAAATTTTCATGCAATTTTTGCCGCCAATTTTGATTTCCTGTAATCAATCTATAGACTTATGATGTCACCCTGACTTCAGTAGCATTGTGACGTGATCAGGATTTCAGCTCATTCTAGCAGTGTTATCTTATTCCAAATACTTGTTCAAGACTTTTATAATTTTTTTTCATGTTTTTACTATAGAACTGTAGTTTCAGGTAAATCCAACCCTCAGAAATTATAATATACATCAGTATAATAAAACGCTTATCCACTGGCTGTGACTGGGATAGCTCTTTCATCAAACCCTTGACAGGAACTATTCCCCTCGGGCAAGCCCTCGGGGAATAGTTCCTGTCGCGGGTTTGATAAAAGAGCTATCCCACTCACAGCCAGTGGATAAGTGTATAATGTTACCCTCAGCGTTAGCAACACACTTGACAACGGGTAACATTACGAAAATATCACATGCGTTCAAATCATGCGCGTACGGTTCACCGTAGAATTCTCAAAACGTCGGTTGTGCGTTTGAAAGAAGCCAAATAAACGACGTCAATATAAGCTTGCGTCCGATGTAGCTTACTTGAAAACAACAAACGACAGACGAAACATCCTTGCGAGTGCAAACTTTAGATGATAAAGGACTTTTTGAGTAGCAAACAAACAATAAAGAGGTTGGTAAATCTTTTCCGAAGCTTTCTTATTGAGAAAAATAGAAGCGGGGAGTTTGAAAGCTTTCTAAGCGTGACCTTAACGACGATCTCCAAATTTTTTTATGACATCCGAAATCAAAAAGACATTCAGTATAATAAAATAAATAGTGCACGTTTTTGAGGGTAACAGTTGAAATTGACACCCCTCGGAAAACCATTGTCAACCTCCGCTGACGCGTCGGTTGACAATGGTTTTCCTTGGGGTGTCAATTTCAACTGTTACCCTCAAAAACGTGCACTATTTATATACTATTCATTTTTCAACATAAAATATCACATCAATCAGGGGATATCTCAGTTTTTAAAGAAATTTGACAGCGCGTACTAATCTATAGTATGAAACTATCCCCTGCTACCCAATGCCATATGGCCATAGTCAAGTCGTACCCAAGGCAATTCAAATCTTAACATGTTAACATACAAACATATATGGTTTTGAGTTGACACAGATAAATGCTGTTTTTATTCTCACGGATCAAAAAGTTCCTTGATAAAATGGTTTGCTTAACAGATAAAAGTTACGTAATTGATCCTAAAAGTTTCCTTTTATTATATTTTGCTAGTTGTACAGGGGTATATATATATAATAAATTTATCATCATAACAGTAACTTGATCCTGAGACCCGTATTACGTCTCGTTGACAGGCGCGGATCATCAGATCAAACTCATTTGATCTGATGATCCGTGCATGTCAACTTGACATGATACGGCTCTTCGGATCAAGTTACTATTATAAATATATATATATACTGGCCTCTGTTCTTCTTTCAGAAAATATCATAGGCTCAATTTCGTTGAGTCAATAATTTGGAATATCCCATAATTATCTCTTAATTTGAATCACTTAAACATGTTAAATCAACACATGCCCCTGATCGGCCGAGAATTGCAAAATTTGGTGGTAATTTGCTTTACATTTAGATTATTTTACAACGTATACTTTAAAATTTATTAAATATCCACTCCAATAAACAAAAAGAACAGATTACATTTATCGGAAAACAAATTTTTTACCGAGAATAAACATAGTTTGAAAAACTTGTAGTGTTTTGGGCGAGTAAACATGGTAATGAAGGAGATGCCTATCCCGTTAGTATATAGATCCCTGACTTAATGCATAGAATAATGATTATACGTTAAAAAAGTGTGTTATAAAATTTGCATTGTCTGTTTATGATACGGAATACAACAGATCTAGGGCCTATAAGTCAAAAAATTTATTTGTTTATTCATTTGAAAATTTTGTTACAATTCCAGGAAATGCAGACATGGCTCTTCTTTATAGTAAAATTCTGCGCCAGATTTTCATTTTGCTCCGTAAAAGTTCACTTCAATTATAATGCCCTGTTCACAGGGAGAGTTTAATTCGAATTAAACATACGTTACTGCGAATTAAATTTGAATCGCATTCGCACAGGGAATTTAATGCGAATTAGTTTAATTCAAATTAATTAACTGCACATTAAATTACTTCGCATTAGCTCCGTGTGAATGCTAAGCGAAGCTAATTCGAATTAAATTTTGACGCATGCATAATGGCACAATTAAGTCACATGCCACATGTCTGTGGACAGATATGGATACTTATGCTATTTTTTAGTGGAAAACAAAGAAAAATTATGTTAATCACTGAAATGTGCATAGAGACTATGACAGAATGTAATATGGGTTTGCTGCGCATAAGGCGACGTGATTTGAAAATGACATCATAATAGCCTTACTGAATAGCCTTACTGTAGAAATAAAATTTTAATTTCCATTAGTTTACTTCGCATTAGCTGTAGTGTGAACACAATTTAATTTGCATTATTTTAATTCACATTATTTACTTCGCATTAATTTACTGTGAATTAAACTCTCCGTGTGAACAGGGCATAACAATTTAATGCATGTTACTGTCAATCAAAAATTGTTTTAATCAGTAA